ATGCTCGGCCCGCCACCACCTCCCTGAAGCTAATTTGTAAGGAAGTTATGTTTTTTAAAAAAACTCAGGCTCGGTCAAATCTCGCCGACGACACCAAGATCGATTCCAACGACCGAGGGTTTAACAACGATTTCTGGGATTGGACGGCACCGATCAACGACAGCCTTGGCGGGTCCGACACTAATTACTCCCCGCTCGGAGCGGGCGGCAGGCTCGAATTTGCGGCCCCGGTCCCTCGCGAGCCGAAGCCCGATTTCAACAACCTAGGCTTTAACAGCGACGCGTGGAAGGCTCTGATCAATAAGAGCATGGGCGGGCCCAATGGTAGGTACTCTAGGTTCGGGCTCGGAGTACTATTGAGCGGTAAAGCATGCCACAAGACGATTCACATTCCTACATGAGAGAAACTGTATGTGTATGATGTTGCGATGGTACAAATGCGAATGATTCTCTGCATAATTCAAGTGTTTATATGTCTAATTATGATATGAAAATGGAGTATGCAAAAGCTAAAGAGATACTAAAACAGGATTTCAAGTTGAAATGGAGTATGCATAATTCAAGTGTTTATATATCTACTCTACTGGTATTGTTTTATTAGCCTGGAGAAGGTAGTAAAAATGTTGAAAGACTTGCAGACTTGTGTTTTGTTGGCATTAAACAGAAAATATATTTCAAGTATATGTATAGCTTTTACTCTTTCTCTAGTGCAGTAGTGTGTTAGATAATTGCAAAACAATTCCTGATGTTTGTTTTCTTTGCAAACAAACACATTCCTCTGCTAAAATCTGATGTGTTATTATTCTCTTCTTGATTTAGAAGCATGGTTAAAAAAGGTACTTCCCAACTTCTAAAGAGAAAAACATGATTTATTTTTTCCTCTTTATTTTTCATAATTATTTAACCTGAGTGATTGTTTCAACAGAGGTACAAGGCGGCAGGCATGATACGATTATTGTAGCTGGAGCAGAATATGGAAGTGGTAGTTTTTGAGACTGGCCTGCTAAAGGTCCAATGCTACAAGTGAGTGGTATTTGTGAATTTTGGATGGTAGTTTCCAGTTGATGAGTTTAGGAATAGTTGTGAAAGCTGCCCTTGAACTTTGGCCTTATTAACCCAAGAAAATGGTATTTGCTACTTATTATTACATTCACCGTGGAGTAGAACTTGTGGTAATTTTTGTTGTTTCTTCCACCATAGTTCAATTAGACCATTTGTGTAGACTTCAATTTCTTCAATGTGCTTCTATGTGCGATCAAAATGGGAAGAAATGGAAATGTTTGCGTTTTAATCGGTGAAATCTCGCTAAAGAAGGAATAAACCAAACAACTTATTGTGCTTTATTCGTGTGTATCAACCAGTGAAAATTGAAACTAAACAACATATTTTAAGTAATAGTTTCTGGCATAAAACATGGCCCATCACTAAAGGATTGTATCAAGTCCTATCGAAAAGTCTAACCAAACTGACCCTTAAAATATTTTCGAAAAGTTAGGTGAATTAATAGCAAAATGCATGATACAAATACATGGTGATTAATTCATTGGCAGAAATATTCTAATAAATAGGGGGCTTTTTTTATTATATTTATGTATATTTAATAGTTGTTGATTATAAAAAATAATGTGATGTATGAATTAATAGAATAACAACACATGTTATTTTATCTATTAGCGAATAACATATAGACAATTGTATTAGAAGACATCTGACAACGGATTGAATAGTGGATTTGACTGGGTGATTGTACAACTAGTTTGAAAATTTTATGTTAGATATGTTATTCTACCGAGTCTCTCTTATCAACATGTGTTGTTTTATATTTTTAACGTTTTGAGTTCAAAAAGTTAAACAAATAAATTCTTTAGCAAATAATCTAATTAGCACAACACGGAACAAATTCTCCCTCTATTTCTCTCTGCCCTAATTCAGATTTTCGTCGCCGCTCTTAAATTGCATGTCGCCTCTTCCCGGCGGGGAGCTCCGCTCGGCTGCCGCGGTCGCCGCAGGTCTGGTCCCCCGGCCATTGTTGTGATTGGATTCTAACGGCCGATTAGGGCTTAGTCGAGCTGTGTTGCTCCGGTGGGTCTTTGAGGGCGCTAGGTTTCCGACTCACGATAGCGGGGTTGAGCGGCATATTCTGATTTCAGCCGGTCAGATTTTGGAATATTGGTGAGCCCCCCCTCCATTATCTGGCTTGCCTGTTGGTTGGTTAGGTCCTGCTGGTCGCGATCGGCCATCGCCGGTGGCGGCCTGACTGTTACAGTCGGCGTTGTCGGCTCTTGGTTGCATGGGGTTGTGCTTTGTGGTCGCGCCTCCAATGTCCTTAGCACCAGTGTTGGCGGATGGCTCTCTTAACCGGCTTTCGCCTCTTCGGCGTCCTTTGGGGGTTCAAGTCGTCAACTTCGCCGGTTTGCCGAGGATTTGGTTGGGGTGGGGTTCTATGGGCAGAGAAGGGCTTGGGCGGTTTGCTGCGTTTACGTGGTGGCCGCCAGAGCTGTGATGTTGTTTCCTCTCTTAATCCTCCTCTGCGCCCTGGTGTTTGGTCAGAGGAGGGACGATGTTTCTGTCTTTCGGCTAGTGGTGTTAGACGAGGCAGGGGCAGCAGTGGTGTGGAAGGGGATTTGGGTGTTCCGGTGGCTGAGGAGTGGGCTGAGGCAATGGTGCTGGTTCGGTCCTGGTGGTCGGTTGTCTTTGTGCTTCTGATCGGTGGGGTGGTGTGTCTAGGACTGACCTCCGTTGACTGGTTCGTGGGTGTCTACCTTGGAGATTTTTCAGGGCAGGAGTATCAGATCTTGTTAGGCGTTTTTTGCAGTTTCATGTCTGGTGCTTGGCTCGGGCGGCTTTCCTTTTGGGTGGAACTCTCGGTTGCGGTGGCGGGGTTATCGTGGAGCTTTTACTGTTGTAGGTTAGGACTAATCTAGTTTAGGTGTTTTATTTTGGCCTGGGTTTGTTGTTCTTTTGTTTTCATTTTTAGATCTCGTATTTTTGGTTTGGGCCATTGGCCTTTGTGTGCCTGAGTGTCTACTTATTATCTGTTGGGATTGGACATTCATGTATTATCTTGGTGGGATCTTTTTTAGTTTCCGTTTTTGTTTGTGTAGTTGTGGGCTTGTTATTCTAGCGTTGTTAGGTCAGGCTCTAGGCGATCTTTGGATCTGTCTCCCAGTCTTTTCAGCCGTTGGTTGTACTATTCAGCTTATGGCTGCTTCTCTTCGCACTTTGTGTGATTTTTATTAATATAGTATTTCTATTGTTTTGGAAAAAAAGAAAAAGAAAAAAAGGTAAGTAGCAAATTTAACATAAGGTTCAATATGTTGATTTTACTTCAATCTGCTAACACCCATACAAGTCGTATATCATATTTTTAATATGTTAAAATTTTATATCCCCTCATGAGCTGGCTACGTAAAAACCTTGCGATTCTACGAATGGGCGAGTTTGGAAATTGGAGTAGCCCCTTCTCTATTACCGTTTGGCGTTCATGGAAGTGGCACAACGAGAGTCTCTTTAACCACAAAACGCTCGGCAGCGACGCCAGACGGGTGGACATTGTGAAATTTGTGGACAATTATGCACGAGCTAAAGCTGCATACGTGAAGGCTGGGGTCGCGGTATATGTTACACGTATGATTTATTGGACCCCACCGGAACCGGGATGGATTAAAGTGAATACTGATGGCGCATTCGATAATCTCACGGGGCTGAGTAGTGCGGGTGGCTTAGTTCGAGACGACTCAGGTGGTTGGATTGAGGAATTTCTTATGAATATTGGGTTTGCACCATTATGGGTGTTGAGCTCTGGGGACTGTTTCAGGGGTTTCAGCTTGCTTGGGACAAGGGGTACCGCCAAGTTTTGTCGAGATCGATAGTCAGTGCGTGTTGCGAATGGTGCTTAGCTCAGATAGTACATTTGGACCCCATGACACCTTGGTTAAGGTCGTTCGAAGTTTGATCCAGCGTGAGTGGAACGTTAGGGTAATGCATGTCCATAGAGAAGCCAACTTTGCAGCCAACCACTTGGCGAGCATAACGACATCTTGTCCGATTGGGTTGCACAGGATAACTGCACCCCCCATAGACCTTAGTACTTGGCTTGACCACGACATCATTGGGATTTCGTACCCCCGTAGAATTTTAGCTTAACTAGGCCTTTGGCCTCCTTTTTTGTACCGATTTTTTTTTTTATATATAATTTGCCTGATTCTAAATATTTATTAATGAGTTGAGTGTCAAATTCATTTCAAACTTCAATCAAATATAAGAAAATTGAAAAAAAAAATGAGGAAAGAAAAAAGATGAAGAGAGAGAGAGATGAAAGGAAATGGAGCCCCTCAAAATATTCACTCCATCGGTTATTAAGCAGAAACGCAGGCTTCAAACTATGAATACATGTTTACTGTTTGTAGAGAGAGAAAGGGCCAATGTCACTTTTTCAGAGAGGGGAAGCCGAAAATCAACGAACGCCCAAGATATTTTACGCCCACAGCGCCTCTGATCGCACATATCTCGCTGCCCAAAATTAGGGTTTTGCCTCTCTACCTTCCAATTTGTGTGTGTGTGTGTGTGTCCTGGTTTTTCCACTACATTTCAACATGGAATGAATTCTATATAGTGCTGGCTTTTCTCTAGAAAAATATTTTCGTTCTGCATTTTCTTTTGGTGTAACTTTTTCCTGCATTTGCATGTTGTATCTTTCACATTTGTTAATTTGTGTAGAGGTGTGCGTGTGGTTGTACTTGGGTAAGGTTTGCATTTGAATTGGAAATTATGGCTTATGAGATTTTGCCCATCCTATTTACTGAGGCTCGTGTGGAATGTGTGATTGGGTGTCTTTTCTGAAGCTTTGATTGTTGATGAATGCAGTTTTGGGGCTTTTCTTGCGTATGCAGTGTTGAAACATTTTTCTGTGCCTGTACACGAAGTGGTGTACTTTGGGATTTTGTGGGGAAAATTTGACTGAGGCGAAGGGTTGTGGGATTTTCTGTTCCTTTTCCATAATGCCAACTTCTTGGTCGGATTCAACTGACAAGGCCCCTACTGGAAACGGCTCTGGGGCAAATTTCCGTGCTTCTCGAACTTCAACGTACGTCCCTCCCCATCTCAGGAATAATCCTCCCGCAGCAGACCCCCCATCAGGTCCAGTTTCCTATGCTGGCAGTGTTTTTCATCCTGTGGGGGCTAGAAAAGATAGAAATGGAGGTGTTGGTGGTGTGGGCCATGGTGGCTGGAATAACAGAGGTGGAAGTTGGGATCGTGAGAGGGAAAGAGAAGCTAATCCTTTTCTAGAGGATGCCGATACAGAACCAGCGTTTGGGGAGCAGGAAAACACAGGGATCAATTTCGACGCATACGAGGATATTCCGGTGGAGACAAGCGGGATGGATGTTCCCCTACCGGTGAATACATTTGCGGATATCGATCTGGGTGAAGCTCTTAATCTAAACATTAGGAGGTGCAAGTATGTGAAGCCGACCCCCGTGCAGAGGTATGCCATACCGATAGCACTTTCTGGGCGGGACTTGATGGCCTGTGCCCAGACTGGTTCTGGAAAGACTGCTGCATTTTGTTTCCCGATAATTAGTGGAATCATGAAAAGCAGTCAATCTGGTCCGAGACCACCGCGCATGCCGCGGACAGCTCTTCCGTTTGCTCTTATTCTTTCTCCCACACGGGAGCTTTCAATGCAAGTAAGTTTATATCTATCCATTGTTTTCTTGTTCCTCTCTCTCTTTCTCTGCCTCTTTCTCTCACTACTGCAAATTCACCAATGGATATCGTCACCCAGATCCATGAAGAAGCGAGGAAGTTTGCGTATCAAACTGGTGTCAAGGTGGTTGTTGCTTATGGTGGTGCTCCTATCAATATGCAGGTCTCATTCTTTACTTCTGGTTTGCTGTCTCACACTAGTCCTTTTGGGAAACCCACATCTCTAAATCAGTTTGATCAAGAAGTCTCTTCCCTGTCATTTTTATATGTGCATCTTTAATTTTTACATTAACTTGAGACTGCAGTTATAAATAATTACATAAAAGGTACTGTTCCATGTACTTGGGATCTCTTGTTGGGGCTGATTTAAGCATCTTTCTCCATTTATATCAATTCTTTGAGACCGTTTATTATTTATATTACTAGCACTTTATAAGTTCAAGTTTGTGTTGAAGAATCGAAACTTGCTCACTTCGATTGTATAATGTTCATTCTTTGTTTGATGTGGTTGAATGTTGCAGTTTGCTTGGAGATTCTCTTAATGATGATTTTGAGTTCATGAATAGATGTTGCGCTATGTTATTGATAATATTATTTCTTAAGCTTATTTCTAATAAGTTAATTAAATAAATTATTTTGGGATACCCTGCTTTTTGTGGACTTTTGATTGCCAAACATGTCTCGTGAGAAGGAACCATTACACATCTAATGGTATCTATACTTTCAACTTGAGTTCAATCCAACATAAATCTTTGTCATGCTTGATTTTTTATCTGCTTACTACTACTAGAACCTAAAGTTTTGCTTCCTTTGTGCTTGATGTGTCTAGTTTGTTGCATATCTGCTGCTGCCTACGTTTATCAGCGTTGCACTATTATTTCCTCTTCTCAAGATTTCATCTGTAATTTTGGATACTCGCTTGTTTTGGCAGCTTCGAGAACTTGAAAGAGGCGTGGACATACTTGTTGCAACTCCTGGACGGTTAGTTGATTTGTTGGAAAGAGCCAGAGTCTCGTTGCAAATGATCAGGTATTTAGCCCTAGATGAGGCAGATAGAATGTTAGACATGGGTTTCGAGCCCCAAATAAGGAGAATTGTGCAACAGATGGACATGCCTCCGGCTGGTGTACGGCAGACATTGCTATTCAGTGCCACATTTCCAAAGGAGATTCAGGTAATCAGGTTTGGTTTTTTATTTTTAGGGGCATCATCAAATCAATTAAGTGTCAGTTTATTCTCAACATAATGACTTGGATAAAATTATATGGACTCATGAGTGGACCTCAATGTTGTATGTAACTCGCTATTCTTTATAAAGTAGTAACTAGAACATCTCCTCCCGAGATGTGATTTAATTAAAAACCACGTGTGCTTTAAATTTCCTATTACCCTTTTAATAGCTAAAAATGGGCCAGAATTTTGGGTATTATGTTCTCAAGGGACTTCATCTTGGAATAAAAATGGCCAGCTAGATAATTCTCCAAATTTGTTTTTTTTTTCTATTATTAGATTAGTGATGTTGTGCCAATTTATTGTGACCTGCAGAGGCTGGCTGCAGATTTTCTATCAAATTATGTGTTTCTGGCTGTTGGAAGGGTTGGATCTAGCACCGACTTGATTGTCCAAAGGGTTGAATACGTGCTTGAGACTGACAAAAGAAGTCACCTGATGGACCTTCTACATGCACAGAAATCAAATGGTGTTCAGGCCAAAGTATGACCCAAATACTATGCACTTTAATTTCGATGCTTTGTTAGACGCATGCATTGTTCTGTGACAAGTGATGGAGTGCCCACATATCTGAATGGGTGAGTTTATACTTAAGTTTGTGTTGGTGAAATTAAGTTACGGAGAACATGAAATTTCTGTGTTTGTTATAGTATGTGTCTGCGGTTTCATTAGATCCAGAGACACTAAAGATTTGCAACATGAACAGATAACAAATAGTAACTTTTCATCTTCTCCCAATTTAATCAGGAAAATATAGAAGTAACCTTGCAAGTTCCATCCATTTTTTTTTTCAACTTGAAATATTACTTTATTTTTTATTTTTTTATTATTTTTTCTACATATATGCTGTTTTGCAGTCTTGGTCAAAGAAGAAAACATGGCTTGCATATTTTTGGTGGTTCTTATGGTTTCCTAAATGCTTTTCACATCGAGCAAGTTGTTGTATCAATTAATATTTTGCAGTCAATTGATTAGTCCGTTTTTCTGGCCTGATTTGCAGCAAGCTCTTACGCTTGTTTTTGTTGAGACAAAGAAGGGAGCTGATTCACTTGAACACTGGCTTTGCATCAATGGGTTTCCTGCGACTTCCATTCATGGTGACAGGACACAACAGGTTAATTTGACAGTTGATAACTTTTTGAAAGACGCATCTGCAATTCACAACATGAAATTAAACCAAATATGATCGTGATTGTTGTTTCGACATCCAATTTTCGTTAGTACAAGAGATCACAAGTTTCATGAAATAAGATCTTTTTATCCTACATTATGGAAAATTGGCAAGCATGCACGTGGCTGATAAATTATACCAATTTCTGTTACATCAATTGGACTAGTGTGCCGTCTTTAGTTTTAAAATCCAACATAGTATTCTAAATTGCACATCACGAAGTTGATAAAGTTTGTTAATGGCTGGGATGTAGGAGAGAGTGTACGCTCTGAGATCCTTCAAAACTGGGAAGACCCCAATCCTGGTTGCGACTGATGTGGCGGCACGTGGGCTCGACATCCCTCACGTGGGCCATGTCGTCAACTTTGACCTCCCGAACGATATCGACGATTACGTGCACCGGATCGGGCGAACAGGCCGCGCGGGCAAAACTGGCCTAGCCACTGCCTTCTTCAATGATAACAATTTCTCTTTGGCCAGGCCACTGGCTGACCTGATGCAAGAGGCCAACCAGGAGGTCCCCGCCTGGCTCTCCCGCTTTGCTGCTCGGTCGACTTTCGGCCGACGTGGGGGAAGATTTGGCGGCAGAGACTTCCGCTCGTTCAACACCAACAGTGGCCCGGGTGGAGGTTATGCTTCTCCGGTGACTAGTTCGTGGGACTAACAATCT